GCCAGTCACCCGCCCACCCCTAGGACTGTGTCTAGGGTGAGGCCACCCCTACCTATACTTAGGAAATGAGAGATGGGCCTGCTCTTATACCCAGTCTGTGTCCAGTGTTTCTTCCACCCCCAGGGCCCTTGGCCTACGCTCATGATGGTTGGGTCTGCCTTCCTAGCAGCTGCCTCAGCTCTGATTGAGGACTATGTTTGGCTCAAGGTGAGTAGTGGTTTTTTAAGCCCTATTCCCATACACCCCTGAGCTTGTGCTTTCCTTTCTTCCTGACCAGGTAAACTGTCTCGAGCCCCACCCTCACCTGCCTGTGCTGGCAACCAGTGGCCTCGACCATGATGTCAAGATCTGGGCACCCACAGCTGAAACTTCCACCGAGCTGACAGGGCTGAAGGACGTGAGTAGCTGACTGCAGATGTTCATGTTACATTTTGAGTCTTTGTTGTCACGGGAAGGAATAGCCGCAAGCCCAGTTCTTTAAAGGCACTGCTCTAACACCGTCCCCCCCACCCCCCTGCCATTGCCATGACTGCCGCTCGGGGAGTAGTCCCAGCGCGGGGGCTCGGGGGCAGCTGCGGAGTGCCTGTAGTTCACGGTGGAGCGGGGGTGCGGTGTCTTGAGGAAGAATCATTCTAGTATATGTGCTGCCGAAGCGAGCACGAGGAAGAATCACTCTTATTTTAGAGCTTCGCAGGCTTCTTAGTGGATAAACCTGGCTCATCCTTTCCTGATGTAATCTAGCTGTCCTTCAGGTTAACAGTTCCTAAAAGAAGTTTTCACTGGGATAGAATGCCAGTCTTTTCTGATCAGGTCCAGGGTTCCTGTTCATTACCCACCCCCACCCCCAACCCTACAACCCTGTTTGGTTCCAGGTGATAAAGAAGAACAAACGGGAGCGAGATGAAGATAGCTTGCACCACACCGACCTGTTTGATAGTCACATGCTCTGGTTCCTCATGCATCACCTGCGACAGAGACGCCACCACCGGGTAAGCTGACGTAGAAGGTGAGCCCCCAAGGGCAGTGCCACTCTCGAGGGTAAAACGTTCCAGTGCACACTTCCTCGCTACTTTAAAAAGAGATCAGGTGGTTTTGATGGGGTGTCCGATCCATTGTCTTCCCTCCCCATCAGAGCCCTGATGTAGCCTTGGAAGAACCATCGGGCAGAATGGGCGGTGTCTGCTTTCTGTTCCCCATCGCCACGCATGAGAGTGCTGTCTTCATAAATGAAGGCAGAGGCATGAGGGTGGGGAAGGAGTTGAGAAGAAATAGGGTGACCTTTTTTCCCTTGTGCCAGAAGAGGCCTAGGGCAGGGGTTAGCAAACTCTGGCAGTTGGCATGCTGCCTGCTTTTTGCAAATAAAGTTTTATTGGAATATAACCATACCGATTCATTTATGTTGTCTGTGGCTGCTTTCATTCCGCAGCAGCAGAGTTGAATAGTCGCAACAGGGTTATGGCCCGTGACTCTAAAATAGTTATCATCCGGCCCTTTAAGAAAAATTCTGCTGCCCCTGGCCTAGAGCATCTGAACTAGAGTTAAGACCTAAAAGGCTTGTCCTCGCTCCAGGGAAATTACTAACAAGCCTTTCCCATTCTACAGCGCTGGCGAGAACCTGGGGTTGGGGCCACAGACGCAGACTCCGATGAGTCTCCCAGCTCCTCAGACACATCGGACGAGGAGGAGGGCCCCGACCGGGTGCAGTGCATGCCGTCCTGAGGCCTCGTACCCAGGAGGGGCGGGCTGGGGCTGCCAACCCGATCCTGCCTGGACAGCCCTTTCCTGTCCCAGGCCCTTACATTCAGCAGACACGCACTTTGGACTTTTTGCTTTAGATAAAAAAGAAAGACATCCCAGGAGACAGACCAGAGCGGGAGCGAACCTGCGGAGTAGCTAAGAATGGGAGCCAAGCCCCGGGATGAGCTCCATGGAGAGGTGCACAGGGCTCAGCAGAAATGGCCTCTCCCCAAAGCCTTGTTTTTTTGGGAGGGGGGAGCCTATTTTGTTAACTGGTTTGGGGTAGGGAATGGGGTTTCCTTTTCTTTAATCTCCCTTGTTTCTTGGGTGGGGGGGGTGGGGATAACTGGCTGTTCAGTACCAATGGGCCAGAGTGGGGGTGGTATAAGTGCCACTCTCTCTTTGGTTTCGGTTTTTGGCCTTTTTCTTCTTTATTTTTTTTAAAAGTCTGTGACAGTTGCATTGGTTTTTTTTTTTTTTTTTCTTCCCCTGAACAACCCCAACCCAGGATCTTGTTTTTTCTGGGAAGTCCTTAGAGCCCCTAACCATCCCACACTCTTGACTTTCTTTCCCACCCGTTCATCCTTTGTACTTCCCACAGTGTTTCACACTTGATGATGTGTCCTTCACGCTCTCCTCTTAATCCCATCACCCCTAACTAGGTCTGGTGAGGGAGGCTGGGGGTGCGTGGCAGGAGGGGCAGAAGTGGAGGAAGAATAGGAAGGATGTGTTACTTCTTCTGTTACTTTTAAAAAAAGTTGTTTGGTGGCAGCAATCTCCTTGCCCTGTCACTGTTAGAGGCCTAATTTTATATCTATAAATATATTAAAAAGCAAGTCAAACTTGGATGTATCACGATAAAATTATTGCCAGTTTTAAATACCTATATATTCTCTATGACTACAATAAAGGGACTGAAAGGAGAGAGTGGAAGTAATGATGTTGTGGTCACACTGGGGTCAGCCCACCCTGTGTGTGTGGCCATTGGAGATCGGGGCAAACCCCTTCAATTTTTGGAGGCTCAAGAACAGAAGGATCCTCAGTTCTGCCCTTCCCTGCCTCCTGCCGCGGTTTCGGGGTTGGGACAACAGGAAAATTCCTTTCAGTTCTTTGCCTCAGATCTCCTACCTCTCCTTCTGTCTTGTGGGGGTTCCCAGGATGGCTCTCCTAACCAGAGGCTGGCCCGTCTTTAAAACTTGACTGAACTCGGACTTCAGAAATGGTTCTGCCACTGCAGACTCTCTCTCCTCATACTGTATGTGACAGAGGACACGTTCACTCTTAGCATTAGCTGCTTGATTCTTTAAGCCACCCACCTCACCCCAGCCGCTCCCTTCTTAGTGGAAGAGTGTAGTAGAGAAAGCCCTCCTGGGTTGGCCATTAAAGCTTGTCTGCCCCTTGATATCTTACGATTGAGGGACACATCATTTAAGGATAAAGATGGCTGGGGCTTGGACACCCGTCTCATCACTGGTCACGGATATGAAAGGCCTAGTTGAATTCTTGCCCTATTGCTTGTGCTGCTATTTCTTTGCACCCCCAACCAGGATTTCTGCCCCCTGGGGCAGTCTGATTCTATTAGGCCAGGAAGGAAGGGAGCAGAGAAAGGATGGAATTCCCAGACACTCCTTCCTGCTGGCCTTTTCCGTAGCAACTGTCAGACCAGATGTGAGCTGCTGCACGTCCCCCCTGAGGTAGGGGACGTGTGGTGACTGAGTGGTCTGCATTCCCACGGCTGGTGGGGTGACGGAGTGGCCTGAAACCCATGCACTCTGGAATTTGTTGTGTATTTTCTCTCAGTAAAGCTTTTTTTTTTTTTTTTTTTCTTTCTGACTGCTGTTGTGTGTGTAATGTGTGGCCCATTTGTTCCTCACGGGCTAGTTCTGTTCGTGCCAGCATAGGTGCCTGGCCCTGTCCTTACTGCAGTCTGGGGAGGCCTGCTCTGGGATAGCCGTGTGTGCAGGCGCAGGCTCCCGCTGGAGACTCACATATGTGGAGTCAGCCCCATAGCTCAGGGCCACTTAGGGGGCTGGGGAGGGAAGGGCAGCACGAGGGCTGAATGCTTCCCTGGCCTCTGTTCTAGGCTGCAGTGAGGGAGGTGGGGGTATGATTCGCCCTCCCTTCCCAGTCAAAGGCTCCCAAATCCTTCACAGAAATTCTGGAATCAGTCAGATACAGTACAGTCAGTCACCTTTATTCCAGGGTTAGAACAAGGCCGTGCACACTGCAGACAGGAGCACAGGATACGGACCACCTCACAGCTGTACGGGGTGGGGGGGGGGCAGGTTAGTCTTTTTAGATGATTTTGGCCTTACAGAGATACTACTAGACTCTGCTGAAAATGACCCTGTCTCCCTCCTCCCAACTCACCCTCTCCTCTCTTCAGAGAAGGCTCCCATTTCTTCCCTCTCTCTCACACACACACTCTCACATCACATAAATCCTGACCGGAAGGACAGTTCATGCTCAGTTCCCCCCCTCCCAGTTCGACAAGTATCTCTCTGTCCTTGAGGGAGAAGCCAGACAGGGCTGGGCGAACGGGGGGAGGTGCTTTAAGGCAGAACTGTGGAGTACTCCAGGCGGACGTGTTAAGGCAGGTGTCCGCAGCAGTGGCCAGAGGGGACGGCGGGGCCGGGCCAGGCGGGGAGGAGAAGCTGCTCTCCGGCCAGTCTGGCTTCTTCCCTCTTCCAACAGCCAGTCCTCCCCTCCCACTTAACGTTTTGCTCCCTCATCTTACAAACTCTGAACTTCAGCTTTCTCTGGTCTCTTGAGATGGCGTGTGAATTTAAAGTTTAAAAAGTGTTTTTCATTTTGGCTGTGTAGCAACTTGACTGGCACTCCCTTGGCCGTGGTGTTCCCCTCCCACCCCCGCCCTGGCCTAGACAATAAGTTAATGCTAGACACCACAAGAAAGGGCAGACATGGCAGTGCGGGTTTAATATACATATATGTAGATATATATGTACACACAGTTAGCACGGTCAGGGTGGGGAGAGCATCTTGGCACGGGAAGGAGGCTGGGGTCTAGTGATTCGGCTAGGAGGCATTCACGAGCCCAACACGCCAGGATATCGAGGGAGACGGGCTAGCAAAGTCCCCTCCTGGACTGAACTGGGGGTGGTCAGTGCAAAGGAAAAGGCTGGAATTAGCTTCTTCCTGTCTTTCCTGCTGGGGGTGCTCTAGACCCCAGAGAGGGAAGGTCACCTGTAGTAACCACGCTGGGACCCTGTGGGTGGGGCAGGGTTGGAGCTAAGACCTAAGGAGCTCACTCCTCAACCTCCCTAGGTTTGGAATCCGTGTGTGCAACAGTCTGAACAGGAATAAAGGGAGTGGCAAAGAGGACCCCTCTGTCCACATCCCCATGTCTGGTGCAGTGGGGCCTGCTCCCAGCATGGGCTCTTGGGGGTGGGGGGGGTCTCCAGTATCTAGCTGGGTGCTCATGAAGTTTGTACTCTGGGGCGAGGAAAAGATCCTGTGGTCCTCTCTCATTAGATCCCTGGCTCATACCCATCCTAGGCCCATGGGAGGGGAGCAAAAAGGGGACCTACTGGGGCCCAGGCCCTCCAACCTGAGGAACATCTAGAAAGGAACCCTCAGCCGATCCAGCACGGGGTACAGACGTGGAACTCTGGCTTTTCTTTGCCCCTTCCAGGTGGGGGGTTGGGTGACCACCGTCCCTCCCACTGCTTTTCACTAGATGCACCCATCTCGCCCCATGCTTTCCCTCCAGCTTGGCTCCTCAGTGTAGGAAAATACAGGTCCTTTCTGCTCCCACACTTTAGCCATAGAGGAAAGGGCAGTAGGAGTAATGTGCCCATTTCTATTTGCATAGAAATAGCCCCCACCTCCCCCTAAAGTGGGGAAACAAAGCCCCCCCCCCAGCCCGACCCCCATCCCCTCACAAGGAGGAGGAACTAGATGAGCTAGACATATAGACAGACAGCCAGAGCGTGCGCACACGCACACACACGCGCACAGTAAGGGGGTTAGGACCAGGTTAGTAAGTGGGTAGAGTGGGGGGGTTGCCCTTGCCCCTCCCCTGGAGGCTGGGGGAAGGGAGTGGTCCACTGAAGGTCCAACCTTCCTCCTTTCCTCCCCCTTGCTCAGGCTTTCTTCGGTGGCGGAGCCAATTTGATGATCTCTTCCTCAGAAGGCTGCCGGATAATGTCTGGGGGGCAAAAAGGGATGTGTCCAGGGACGGAAGGCGTGGGAGCCAGGCCCACCACGTCCGCTCCCATTTGCCCCAAATCCAAGCACTCCAAGGATCACCCACGGGAGGGGGCAGAGGCGCGTGTTAGAGACACGGGCTCCTACCTTTGTACTTCTTGGCACTGGGGATACGGGTTAGCTTGGTGTCCAGCTCATCCTCCTCCGAGATCTTCAGAACACGGGTTCTGTAGTCCACCACCATGGTGAGTAGGTCAGGGCGGCGGGAGATCTCAAAGATGTGCTCAATGTAGGAGAGGTTGTCTGGAGGAAGGCAGAAGACAGGGTCAGCCGGGCTGTAGAGGCCGGCTTCCCCTGCCCTACCAGACCGGGCAGCACAGGAAGAGAAGGAGCTCCTGAGCAGGACCAGAAAGCTAAGGCACCAACAATACAGAGGGCTCTTCCCAGGAAGAGCAGGTGGTTGGTCGGTGAAGTTTCCAACTTACGCATGGAGGAGGGAGGATTCAGGCTAAACAGAAAGAAGGTCCCACGTTGTGGGGAGGGGAGAACAGAAAAAATGTTGGCCTTCCTGATACCCTACACCCACCCTGTGCGCCTTCCACTCTTCCTCCAAGTCAGCATCAGAATTTCCTGCTAGCACGTGTGGGACTGGAGGGGTGGAGTCTCTAGACAAGGCACGCATGTGGTCAGAAGGACGCTCTCCGCGGCTGGGCCAGTTCTAGGAGACTGTGGACCCCCTCGGTCCTTCCTCTGCGGCTCCTCCCCTCGGACTACTGCAGGTGTCCCCCAGCGGGACCGTGTCCACCTCAGCCTCCCGCCCTGCTCGCCCCCCAGGGCCCTCCAGTGGCTCACCCTGCCTGCTCATACCCTGGCCCTCAAGTTCCTCCACGGCACAGCCTAAACGTACCTTTCCAGCCACTTCTAAACTTACTCGGGCCCCAGCCAAGCTAAGCAGGCTCCCTTGCTCTGCCAGACACAGCAGACACTCCTGCCTGTGACTATGGTCCTTTGCCAAGCGTGCCCTCCTCTGGACCCTGCTTTTGAAATCCACTTGCCTTTCAGGGCCATCTTAATAGACCAACTCCCCGCCCTAAGCCTGTCCCAGAGCAGCGGCCTCTAGCCGTGGATGGGAGAATGTTAGAACGTGCGGTTTTACTTTGATCACTTTTAACTTGTATTTTAGTGTCCTGTGACAGACTGATGCTTGCTCTCGTGTCTCACAGTAACACAGTGGTGCCCGGGCACCGTGGTGGCTGTGAGGACCGCTGCTCTCAGCGTGCTTCCCTTTGCTGAATGGACTGGGCCTGAGAGGCTGGGGACCCCCCCTGCCCCCCCACCTTTGTCCAGCTTGTTGTGGCTCTCCAGGAAGCTGAACCAGGCACTGCCAGTAGTGATCTCCTCGCTCTTCTCACTGGGGATATCCTCCTTGCAGGCCGACTTGAGCTGCTCCAGATCTTCAAGGGTGATGTTGTTGGTCAGGTCCTGGAGGAGGGTCCCGTACTCGGCCATGACTGGGGTTGGGAGGAACAAAGGGAGAGGCTGCTGAGCTGGAGGTGCCGGTAGGGTTTACTCACTGGCACCTCCCACCAGCACCTCCACTCTGGCGGGCAGGGGTCGGGGGCGGGGGGGGGAGGTGAGGCAGGGCTGAGGCCAGCAGGGCGGCTGGGGAGGGCTGGGCTGGAGGAGTAAAAAGGAAGGCCTCAGGGCGGTGGGAGGAGAAAGGAAGAAACGCAGAAGCTAGGGGCCAGGCTACAGCCTAGAGTGACAAGTCACACCTCCTTACCCCCATCTTTTTCTCCTCACCCCCCCCAACAGTAACCCTGGCAACAGCTCCCCTGACTGAGGAGGCGGTTACCATAGCAACCTGCTCCAGACACTCACCCGCTGCCTCCAAGGCCCCCCAGAATCGCCCCACCCACCAGCAACCCCTCCCCCTGTCAAAAGAAAAAAGAAAGAAAGAAAGAAAAAAACACTCCAAAACAAGCATCAGGGAGAGGCTGCCTGGCTGTGACAGTAAGCAGCTCAGAAGAAGGGGCCGGAGGGGGTCGGAAGGTTGGAGCTCGTGTGTTCTAGTTTCCATTCTTCCCCAGAAGCAAAGGGGACCCTCACTCCCGACTCCCCACCACCTCACTAGTAACTCATTTTGGAAAAATGCCTGGGTGCTTGGTCTAATGGTCCCCTGGTCCCTCTGTGCCCCCCTGTATTCAGTCCTTAGGGCTCGGGTGGGCGGGGAGGGGAAGCAGTGAGTGCGCCCCCCCCTCCCCCATGGAGCCTGGTTTCTCCCTTGATTGCCGCTAGGCCTCCACGCAGCCCCCTCTCCTAGCCTTTGTGCTGCGCCCGCAGCCCCCGCGCCCAAGAATACCAAGCGGCCGGCTCTGGCCCCCTGCCCAGTTCCCAGGCTGGCTGGGTGGCAGGGGAAGGGGTTTAGATGCAGCTCTGGGAGAGCGGCAGGAAAGGGGCCGCCGCTCCTGCTTGCGTCTGTGTCACCGTCACCGGCTGGCACGACCTTCAGGACAGCCTCCCACAGGGGGCTGGGCAAGGCTGGGCCTCCCTCTCTCGTGGAGATCTTCAGGTGGGAAGGGAGAGAACATTCAAGGCCCTCCTTGCACTCACTAGGTAGAAAGTGTGTCTAAGGAAGAAGGAAGGTCAAACCTGAGAATGAACTTTTTGGATGAGATGAAATGTAAAGCTCTACTAGTGAGTTTAAAAGGGGCTCCCCCCCCCAACAATGAAGAAATATTTCTTTTATAATCAGAAAAGTAAAGCACTTTAAAAAGTACATTATATCATAAACTCTGTGGCTAGACCAAGGAGCTAGATGATCTTGTACTTCACTGGGACTGCCCACAAATCACCCCAACAGTGGGCTGGGAATGCAGCAGAGAGCAGGGGGCATCTGGTCTAGATGCAGAGAAACTGAGGCAGGGAGGCATGGCATCGTAAGGGAGGCATGGACCCAGAAGTCCCCATTCCCAGCCCCCTACTTGGGCCAGAACAAACAAGCCTCCCTTGGTGGCAGGCACCGTGACACACACACACAATGAGCCAGGCAGCAGGGCCAGCAGGACCCCCACAAGAAGCAGGCACTCCCAGGCATGCTCACTTGCACACCCAGGTGCAAGCAGACAGAAGGGCCCAGCGGTGGCCCTGCCAGCCTCGGCCAGGAACAATGCTCTCGGACTGTCAGCACCAGGAACCGTCTCTGCCTGGAAATCTAGGTCACAGCAGCAGGCTCTGGAGCCCAACCCCCCACCCCACTGATAATCCCGGGACAGGAAGGCGGGGGGGGGGGGTGATGGGGAGGGGTCCAGGCATGAGGAATTAATGGAGGGTGCGGAGAGCTTAAAAGGAAGGGGTAGCAGGGTGCCCCCAAGAAGACCCTGCCCCTGGGAGGAGACCTGGGACCAAGCCCTCAGCTGGAAAATGGGACAGCATTTAGAGTCATCCTGTCCCGTTTTCACGTGGAAGAAGAGATTGTAACTAGATCGTGGGGAAGGAAAGTGTGTGTGTGTGTCTCTCTCTCTCCTGAAAGGAGTTAAGTGTATGTGTGTATCTTCTAGAAGGAGTTAAGGTTTAGGGCTCTGAATCTAAAACACAGACTTCCGGGGGGCGGGGGGAGGGATTAATGTGTGTGAGTGAGCCACCCACAAAGGCTGGGGGGCGGTGGGTAGGAGCTTTCTGAGAGCATGAGGCACACACAAGGAGGCCCCCAAGAGGACCGGGGGTGGGAATGTTGCCAGCGCTGTGCGCGTGGATGCTGTGTCCTGGGTGTGCGCACAGGCACAGGGAAGAGGCAGTGGCGGGCATCTGCGTGGGCGTGGGCGTGTGCGTGTTCTGGGCATGGGTGTGTACGTGCCAGCACTGGACGCGTGGTGGTGCAAGTACGTGCTCCGTGTGTGTGTGTGTGTGTGTGAAGCAGTGAGAACATGTGGAAGGTCTGTAATCACAGGCTCACATCCAGAGAAAAGGGGAAGGGTGAGGAGACCCTGCAGAATGGAGGGAGGGCTGGGGCTGGGAAAGGAAAGGAGGCTGCAGATGAGATCCTGGGGGGAGGGCCCGGGACTCTGTGGTTACCACGGCAACCTCAGTTATGAGTGCCACCCCCCCACCGGTCAGGACAATGACACCACTGGATGGGAGGGGTGTGGGGAGCGAGTGAGTAAGAAGGGACAGAAGCAGTGGAGTAGGGCCCCCTGAGGAAGCGGGGGCAAGGCAGCCTGGCTGCTGCCTCCCCGGAGAGATCCCCGCCACCCAGGCCTGGGTGTGGCTGCAGAGGCAAGGCCAGTCCCTTGGGGCACTTTGGGGGTACAAGGATGTGGAATCTCCTTACGCGGCGGCTCTTGAGTCTCACCGATCAATCATCGTCCCTGGGGTGGTGTGGCTGTGGTGGAGCTTGGCTCCTTCACCCTCCCTGTCCCTTTCCTCCCGGAGACTCAGAATTCCTTCGGGCCCATGAAGAAGTCTCCTCCCTTCGTAGCCCAGAAAAGTCTTCCTGATCTCTGGAGCGGTGCGAGGCTGCCCAGGGAACGCACCAGGCAGCCTGGGCGGAGGCCATTCTTGGGACAGGATACCAGGGCAGGAACCAGGACCGGAGCTGAGGCTGACAGGAAGTCAGTCCCCTTCCCTCCCGGATCATTCTGTGCTCTGCTCGCTGCTTCCTCACACCTTCCTTCCTTCCTTCCTTCCTAGCTGGCCCCAGGTGGGGCCCTGACAAAGGTGGAACCAGCTGAGGATGCTGGGGAAGAAGGGCAGGAGGTCAGGATCTCACAGGCTGGTCTTCGGGGGTAGGAGCTGGGAGCAACACAGGTGGGCGGTCCGTGGGCCCTGGGGGAGGAAGGAGCAGGCCCCGGGGCCCTCCGAGAGGCCTAGCCCGAATGGGACAACCACCTGTGCAGGAGGAGGGAGCACCACAGACCTGCTGTGCATCCTGACCATCCCCTCTCCCCTGAGGATTAGGAGCCACTGCCCCTCCCCGCTCCCCTCTGCTTGCTGGCTGCCTGCGGCTGAGGGGAGGGCCAGCCCACGGCAGGTGCGTGCACCTGGAAGCCCCATCACGGGCAGGAGGGGTCATGCTGCCTGGGCTCCGGGCTGGGGCGGTGATCAAGGAGAGGCAGAGGAGTGGGTGGGGAGAGCACAGGGTGCCCATTTTAAATTCTACCTGGGCCCCAAGTTCAAGCAGTCCTCTAGTTCATCCCTAATTATTCCCTTAACATCACACTCAGCCGACCTCTTCTTCTCTTGGCTTCCATTCAGCTTTGGGTGGGGGGCAGGGAGTGTCTTTATTCTGTAACAAAGGAAGGAGGCTCTAAGACTCAGCCAGCCCGGGAATGAGGGGAGGCAGGATACCTGGGCCTCCGAATGTTCAGCTCAGTCCAAGAAGCAGGACGGGTTGGCCCTGGGCACAGAGACAGTGCTGAGCCTTCAGCGCTTAGTCTAAGAGGAGAAAGATGGACCCAAGGTGGGGGCGTTGGGAGATCCTGGCACTGGGTCAGGCAGGGCAGAGAGGGAGGGCTGCCTGCTGGCCAGTGGGCTCGCCACTCAGCGGCTGGGGCCTCTCCTCCTCCTGTTTGTTTCCTTCCCGTCTCTCCCCCTCATCCACCTCCTCCCTCCAGTCTCTCTCTTCCTCTCTTCCTCCTTTTCCGTCGGTGGGCTTTCATCCTGTCTCACTTGGTGGCAGCCCTGAATGCCAACGGCTTCTGGGGCCTGTGACTCAGTGTCCCCATGTAAACACCCAGGGCCACTGCGATTAGGAAGGAGTGAGCTTCCCTGCTGTAAAGGGACCATCACTTTGGTGGGGAGGGGCCTGAGTTGGTTGGTGGGCGTGAGGGTCTGTATGAAGGTACGGCCTGGCCGGACGGGACTCCGTGGCCCTCTTCATGCATGACGCCAGGTGCACACAGGGCGGGCACAGGTGTCAGGGAAGGGAGGAAGTCGGCAACCGGGGCATCGGACAGCCTAGGGCATCTCTGGCAATTTCCCCAACGGAGTGCTTAGCCACAAAGGGAAGAGCAATTAAAGCTAATCGCTCTGACAGCCTGGGGGCCAGACTCATCGAGAAACAAAACCCACGGATTCAGCATGTTTCCCGAACTCCCCGCGGTCTCACGCCATCGTGCTCTCAGCGCGCTCTCCAGGCCAGCGCAGCCCAGCCCCCAGCCGTCTTCCCACTCCTCTGACCATCTCCCGTCGCTGCCTCCCCTGCCGTTCCCGACTGTGTCCCTGTCCCTCGCACACATTCCCCTCATTCTCTCTCTCTCCGACTTAGGCTCCATCCTTGGCTGACTCATACTCATTCTTTTTCTCCCGCCCCCTCCTCCGTCCCTTGGCCACTCTGGGCCGCAGAAACCAGCCACTCCCAGCACCCTAGGCTCTCAGTGGACCCAGCGAGAGAGGCCACCAGCAGCCCCTGGCCCTCCCGACTCTGCCAGCCTCAGAGCCGCGGGCAGGCTCCGTCACTCCGGGTCCTGTCTCCCCGGCCCGGAGTGAGAGCAGCATTTCCTCCCAGCTCTCCTGTGTGAGAGACGGGCAGCCAGAAGTCCGGCGCTGGGAGAATCTGCCCAGACAGTCAGGGTGGCGGCAGGGACGGGGCCCCCCCACTCAGCTGTCCTGCGGACAGATGTGCCTCCAGGAGGCACATGGAGGCAGTGGGGGAAGGGAGATGTGTAGTGCGGGGACGGTTGTGATTTGCTGTGTGCGAAGCGATGTGTGTAAGAGTCACATGGGTGTGTGTCACCGTGTGTGCTGGCGTGTCTCTTGTAGGTGTGTGTGTGCCCCTGTCAGTTCCGACATGGAGTGTATGCAATTAATCGGGGCTTTTACGTCGGCTCCTTCTCTCCACCCCCAGCTCCTGACCACCCCCCGCCCGGCCCCCGGCCCGCGCCCGCCGATCCCCGCCCTAGCCCGCGGGCCGCGGCGGGGCGGGGGAGGGGAGGGGGAGCCTGGCCGAGCCGGCCGCGCGGGAAACGGGCTCCCGCCGAGACCCCGGGCCGGGCCACACGCACCCCGGTCGGCGGACGCCCCCTCCAACCCCGGCTCGCCGCCCCGGCCCCGAGCCTGCCCGCCTTCCCCCCCGCCACGGCCCGCCTCTCACCGCCTCGGGCTGAGCGCTCAGGGCGCGGCTCTCCGGCGTCCCGGTTCCTGGGGCAGCGTCCGGAGCCTCCTCCTCGGCTCCCGCCGCTCCTGCCGCCGCCGCCGCCGCTTCCGCCCGCCGAGACCGAGCCCGAGCACCGCGCGCGCCCCGCCCGGCCGGCCGGTGACGTCAGCGCCGGGGGCGGGGCGGGGGGCGGGGGTTCTGAAAGGCTCGCGGGTGGGCTGCCGAGGGCCGCTGCCGGAGTCGCCCCCCCCCCCCGCCGCCCCGGACCGCGGTACCCCGCTCCCAGGGGGACAGCCTCCTGTCCTGGCCACCTTTCGGTGACCACCGCAGCTGGGACCCTGGGGAGCACAGAGCGAGTGAGGGTTTAGGCCTTTGGAGGGCCTCGGGCCTCTGATCCTCTTAGCTGGCTGACTTGTGTTGGGAAAAACCTCTTTCCTCCCCTTCTGGGTCAGGGGGCCGGTAGCGAAGGGCCGGAGGACCGCTCGGACTCATCCACACTGGAGGGCGGGGTGGACGTAGGGATGCCGGCGGGAAGCCACGTGGGGCCTCCTTGCCTTGACCTGGAGCCCGGATCCGCTCTCCTCTCTCTCCTCAGGGTGATGGCCCGTTGGGTTTTTCTCACCTTTCCCAAACATACCGCCCTCCTGCCTTCCCCCCACCATGATGTAATTTTATTTTTCTGGGGAGGAAGAGAGCAGAAGTGAGCTCAGCATGCAAATATAGACGTCTTGCAAAGCCACACTTAGCTGTCTCCTCGCTCTGCCTCTCTGCCCAGGCCCGGCATGGCAGCTCTCACTTCCTCTCCACCCCAGGGACTTTCCTCCCCCAGATTCTCAGCCAGACTGAAAGAGGGAAGGAAGAAGTGGGGAAGCATCTGTCTGCACCCAGGCTCCCGCCTGAGGGCCCTTGCCTCCACTCTGGCAGAGTCGGGCCCTGGGAAGAGGTCCAGGCCGCATCCAGGAAGGCCCTGGCCTCCCCTCAGTGCTGGCCGGGCAGACACCCCCTCATGAAGCCTCAGGTGAGCCCCTCCTTTCTTGGTCTAACTGCGCCCAAAGAGGCTCAGACTCCTGCTGCTTCCCCTTCTCTTCAGCGGCCTCTCCTGTCACCCCCTCTGAGAGCAAGACCACCTCATCCTCTGCTGTGTGCCTGTCTCGTTTGCTCTGTGTCGTGGGACCAAAAGCCATGTCACCGGCCCATCTGCGAGACTCAGAGAAACGGAATGACTTCTGTACGGTGACAGGCTCTGGTCTTCCTGCCCCCCGGGGGTGGGGGTGGGGGTGCAGGGGCTTCACACTGGCTCCGCCCCTTTCTCCGGCAGGTTAAAGCCTCTGACTCTCAGGGGCCCTGCGGCTGAGATGGGGAAGCTGATGCCCACCCGACAGGGTTCTCCGGAGACTTGGAAATCCTAAGTGTCTAAGGACTGGCATAGGTGGGTGCTGGAAACCTAGGGGCGACTTGTTTAGTCTGGGGCCTTCCGCTGACCCCTGCTAGACGGTCAGCACCCCCCCACACACCTCCCATTAGGACTGTGTGAGCCCAGGGCCCACCCCACGTATCAGACCAAGTATGGAATGGTCACAAGTTGGTGTCTGCTCTACGCTCTTCTGCCTCCTCCAGGAGCACTTCCTTGGTTTGTCTCTGGAGGGTGACATGTGTGTCACCTCAGTCCACTTTTCTCTCAGCAGCACCTTCATACCTGACCCATGACAACCGTCCCCCCTGAGTTCTGGGTGCGGTCAGTTCCTTGGCTTCCCCACACGACGACGTCCGACTCCCTGGCCCGAACACCGGCCTGGGCTGTGCTGCGGGGAGTGCGGGCCCTTCCTGCCGGGAACCTGGGCAGCCCGGGTCCGGGCTCAGGGTGGGGGCCCTGCTGTACAAAACTCTGTGTCTCCTCTCCATCCCAAGGCCACCGCTCAGGCTCTCCCAACTTCTGATGGGCTCTGACAGTGAGAGTCGCCCCTCCCCCCCATACACCTGCTGTCTCCATCCTCCCCTCCCTCTGCCCATCCCGCTTGCCTCGTCACGGCCCTTCCTCCCAGCCCCAGGATTAAATTCAAACTCCTCTACACCCCGTGATGCCCCTCCATCCTCATGGCCTCCACTTGAGGGTCTCTTCTTGTCCCTCTCCTCTCTTCTGCACCCCCAATATGACACCCACATTCCACCTGTGCTTTTGATGCTCTCCACTGACTGAAATGTCCCTTCCCTGTCTCCTTTGGCCCGTCAAACCCCATTCTTCACTGAAGGCCTAGAAAGCGCTTGCTGCTTGAAGCCACCAGAGCCCACGTGGCCTCTCTCTCCTGACCCTTTCTGTTTCGTTTGCTCCTTCTGTTAACAGACATTTGTTGGGGGCCACCTTTTGTGCGCCAGGCCCCGGGGGCACAGAGGAGAAGCCTGGGCTCCTGCCTTCAAGGGGCCTGCAGTCCCTTGGGGAAGACGGACGTGTGGCTACAGATGGAGGGTAGCTGAGGAGTACTGGGCTGGAGGCCGAGAGGGTGCAGCGCGACCCCAGAGGAGGGAACCGCCGCGGGCCGCCTCGGGGAAGGCCTCACCAAGAAAGTGATATTTGGGTTCAGTCTTGACGGTTCAAAGAATAGCTGCAGGGGGGTGCTATCAAGCAGCACATAATCACTTAATTACGTATTGCTTTGTGTTCGGCTTCAGTTGTTTAGTTGCTTGTCTTGACTTCCCAGTGAGGCTAAGCAGCACTCCCGGTTCTCCCAGAACCTACCAGTGGTGCCGGACAGACACCACATGTGCGGGGAGAGCTTAGGGACTGGCAGCAAATAAATAGTTCACTCTTCTCTGGGGTAACTGCCTGGAGGGAGCCCCCCATCACAGCGCCCTAACAAGGCCCCCCCAGCCCCCATCCTCGGGCTGCCTCCCCCCCTGCCGTGGGGGGTGAGACCTCGGCAGCAGACACTTGCTCATGCTGCCCCAGATCTTTTATTGAGGCCTCTCGATATTTGACCCAAATAGATTAACAAGAGATTGCTGGGAGAGAGAGAGAGAGAGAGAGAGAGAGTGTGCCCCAGACGCAGGGCCCGCCCTTCCTCCTGGCCAGGGATCGGGGCCGCCAGAAGGATGTAGGATTTGAGAGTGTGGGGAATTGTGTGTGCAGGCGGAGGGAACAGAGCAGGAAAGAACGACGGGCGGTGGAGGGAACAAGTCGTAGGCACAGGGCCGCCGAGGGACAGGCCACAGCTGGCTGAGGCGGCTTGGGCTGGCGTGTGGGGATGAGCGGGTCTCAGCACTCAGCATATGGCCTCCCTATGACGGAGGACGACCCAGTGCCCCCGGAGGAGCCCAGCGAGGGATGGGGGGCGGGAGGAGACACGTGGAGCGCGGGCGGGCTGGGAGGCGGCGGCCGCAGCGTCTAGTCCTCGTCATCGTCCTCCGTGTTGATCTCGCCCTCCAGCACATCCTCCAGCCAGTCCTCCAGCTCCTCTGTGGAAGGCAGGTCCTCCTCGTCGGCCATCTCCATCCACACGCTGTCCGCCTGGGGTGAGGCACACACGGGGCCGGAGCTCAGCCCGACTCAGGCCTTCAGTCCTGCCCTCCCACCCACGGGGCTCCCTCTGTGCTTCCCTCTGTCCTCCTTCCCTTCCCTTCACCTGTCACGGGCCCGGGACGCTGCCCAGGGGAGGGTCTAGGTGGGCGCCGCGATGGGGGAGCAGGGCTGGCTGCGCTGGCCTTTGACGGGAAACCACCGGTGGCCAGAGCGTCAAGCCAGCCACCCTTCGGCTTCTTACAACCTGCTTTTCCAGCACCGACCGCGGAAGCTTCTAGTCTCGCAAGCCCTAAAAAACGACTTGCCTTTCCCAGAACCTGATACTCATTTTCCTACTTTTGACCTTTCGCACTAGCTTTTCCAGCGGTCTGGAAACTCGTCGTCAGCTGCGCGCGTCCGGACTCCTCCAAGGCTGGGCGGTCCCCACTTTCAGTGCCACTCCCTTGAAACCCTTCTCTCTGATTCTCTCCAGCAGAAGTTGCTTTGATTTCTGCGGCTTCCTAGCATTTTATGGGTCTCTTTATGATCGAGTCTATAAGATCTGGCCGTGTCGTTAACAGAATACCTGCGTCCCCAGTCGCACTGAGGACGGTATGGACGCAAAGACTGTGGCCTCTTCCCTTCACCGCCACAGACGTGGCCGAAGCACCTGCCGTGTGTGAGTGCGATTTCTGCCCTCAAAGAGCTGCGTCTGCCAGAGAGGCAAGCACGACGCAGAGCTAGCCGAGCTGAAGTCCCGTCCGCGACGCCCAGTGGGCTCTGGGGGCGCCGAGGAGGGGGCCTCCCTCCACATGGGAAGTCTGGAGAGGAGGTGGACGGGGCCTTGAGGGATGAGGCGCCAGCTGCAGCAAGGGGGGTGTGTGCTCCGGGGTGGGGGGGGCCGAGCCTCTCCCTCTGCCCAGCCCTGAGACTGGGCGTGTCTGACCCCCGGGGGGGCGGGGCGGGGGCGGTCGGCCGAGCAGGGAGAGCTGGTGGGGCTGGGAAGCAGAGCTGGGGCCAGTGGGGTGTGCGGGAAGGAAACTCACATCGGTAACGTTGACCACTCCTATTTGTGGGGCTGACAGGTCGATGTCAAACGTCTTCTCCCAGTATGGCACGAGCTGTGGAGAGACCACGCACGGTAAGGTAACAGCATCTAGGAACGCGTGCGTCCAGGAGGGGGAGTGTAGAGGGTCAGCCCGGGGGCCGAGGAAGGTCACTGTGAACCCACGGCGGGTGGGGGCCTGAAGGGAAGGGGTAGAGGTAAGCAGTTGCAGGTAAAAATCCCGAAAGGAAAGTATCGGGAGGGTCAGCTGAAGACACTGGCCCTTCCTTCCCCAGGAAAACTGGGTAGGAACCCGTGTTCTGATGCTGGCTCTGCTACTGCGTGACCTGTGACTTTGGGCAGGTCACTTCTCAGTGACCCTCAGCTTCTGCACCTGTAAACTAAGGTCGTCGTCCCTGGTCATTGTCAGTGTTCCTCACGCATCTCCTCATTCCGTTGCTCCTCCAACAACGAGCGTGAGGTGTTGGGGATCCGGCTGGGAACGAAGCTGTCCCCTGAGGCAGGGACTCTCCGTGCACTCAGTCTGATCGCGTAGACCCACTTGCAGGGC